TTTTCTTTTTTGCTTGAATTTTTGTTTTGACTTCCATTTTTCAACTCAGCTTCTTGGGTGGGGAAATATATATAACTGTGTATATGTAAGGATAATTGAGAAAATGGCACAGTGCAGACTGCTGATATGCCGGAAACAGTGATTTTATAAAATTTAGGAAATTAAGGAAATTATTAAAAAATTAAAGAATGGTTTCATATCAGATTTTTTAAATACTAAAACATTGAATTAATAATTAATTAAAAATTAATAAATAAATAATTAATACATATTATAAAAAATAATTAATTTTATAAAAAATAATCTATTAAAAATTTAATTATAAAGCTGAATTTACATTAAAAGTTTTCTTATTATTAATTATTTTTTATTTTTATTAAATATTTTTCAAAATTTTTAAAGAATATTTAACTTTATTATATAAAAAATATACTTCAAATATTTTTTTTAATTTAAATTAAAAGGCTATATATATATATATATATGTATATATATTTAACAACATTTTAAAATAAAATATATTCCTTCACAAAAATATATATTTATATATAAATTTAATATATTATTTAATATAAATTAAATAAATAGCTTTTTAATTTAAATTAAATAATATATTATATTTAGATATAAATATATATTATTAAACATTTTTTTAATATTTTATGACATTTTTTTTTAATTTTAATATATTCCTTTACAAAAATATATTAAAATTTTAATATTTATTATATTAATATTTAAATTAAAAGCTATTAAAAAATTGTGAATTTTTTATGACATTTTTTTTAAAAAATTTTAATATATTCCTTCACAAAAATATATTAAAATTTAAAATAAATGTCATAAAAAATTCACAATTTTTTTATAACATATGTTTGTATATAAATTTAATATTTATTACATACAGTTTTTACTAAAAAATTATTTCTTTCAAAAAATGTATTTTGAAGCACTTTTTTCAAATAAAGAATATAGTTTTAATAAAAGAAAAAAAACGACAATATTATAATAAAAATTAAAAATATTTTCTATTAAAATAAACAATAATTTCATATTAAAATAAATTTTCAAGTAAAAAAAAACTTATCTAAAAAAACATTTTTTTTCAAATGTCGATTAAATGTAAAAATAAATTATTTTAATTTAATTTTTAAATTTTAAATTAATTTTATTTTAATTATAAATTATACTTTAATTGCAATTGTTTTTTATTATTGTAATTAAAATTAATTTTAAATTACAATTAATTTTTTAGTATTTTTTTTATTTGAGAAAAACCTTTCAATAATTTTTTATTTTTGTATATTTTAATGTAAAATGCATTTTAATACCAATAATATATTATATACAAATATATATCATAATATTTTTATATACATTTATTCAATATAAATTATTAAAAATTTTATATTTTATTTTTTTTTAATGTACAAATAAATTATTTTAATTTTATTTTAATTTTAATTTTATTTTAATTACAAATTATATTTTAATTACAATTGTTTTTTATTATTGTAATTAAAATTAATTTTAAATTACAATTAATTTTTTATTATTTTTTTTATTATTATTTTTTTATTTTTTAATGAAAAAAAACCTTATATTATATACAAATATATTTTTATTTTTTAATGTAAAATGCATTTGAAAAATAAATTAATTTTAATATATTATATACAAATATATATTAATTACTATATTTTTATATACATTTATTCAATATTTTATTATTATGATTAAACATTTTATATTTGATTTTTTTTATTATATACAAATATATATCAATTATTTTAATTTTTTTTTAATTAAAAATTTATTTTAATTTTAATTTTTTTATTTTAATTACAAATTATATTTTAATTACAATTGTTTTTTATTATTGTTATTAAAATTAATTTTAAATTACAATTATTTTTTTATTATTTTTTTTTTTTATTTGAAAAAAAACTTTCAATATTTTTTTATTTTTTATTATTTTAATATAAAATATATTTTAATTTTTTTATATATTATATACAAATATATATCATAATATTTGTTATATACATTTATTCAATATAAATTATTAAACATTTTATATTTTAATTTCAAATATAAAAATATAATATAAAAGTTGCATATATACATTAACATCATTAAATATCTTTGTAAAGGATTGAACAAACAATTTTTATTACTTCCCAGACCCACTGTCCACCAGGACATGTGCAGTGTAGTTTTTTTTTTCTTTCTTCGACTCAAAAGTTTCTTAAGAATGAATTTTTTTTCAAGCAAAGTCATGAAAGTCACAAACAAACCCATACATACACACATCTACACAGATAAGGGGGTAAAGAATGAAAAGCAAGAAGGAGGCTGAGGGTGGCCGACCGAAAAAATTTATAAGTTTTTATAAAAGACATCAAACTCACAGCCAAAGAAGCCCACACCGAGAACACATCGAGTGTTCAAGGAATAACAACAGGACATGTCTTTCAAGGAGGGGAATGTGAGAAGTAAGGCGGGGGGATATAAAGACAAAATGAAAAACGAAAAGAAGAAAAAAAACAAACACTGGACTCCAACAGTTGTGAATGAGTAGGGAAAACCCAACCTTGTAAAGGATGGGAGCAGTATGGAAGATAGGAAGTTTACAACATACTTTGTGATACTCTGTGAAAGAGTGTGTGCGGTGTACCAGAGAATTGACATGTGTGTGTGTGTTTGGTCGTTCACAATAACAACAGCAGCCGTAGTCATAGTCGCAGCAAGGACGATAAAGTCTATAACATTCTCAATTTGGTATTTCTTAAATCGGATGACTTTGTATAAAAATTCCCATTTTTTGTTGTTGTTATTTTATTTCATTTATTTTCTGTTGCCTGCCAGCCAGCCTCAGAATCCTGTATGCATGTTTCCCGTAGTTGTGTGGTAAATGTGTCCGTGTGTGTGTTTTTATGTTTGAGTTTCTTATTGCCATGATGGTGGGGGCGTGAATATTGCTTGGCAGTCACACTGCCTATTTGATTGTGTCTGTGTGTGCGTGTGAGTGTGCCAGCTAGGCCGCTTGTTATTTTCTTTTTTTTTCTCTGTCTTTAATTTTTATATTTTTGCTTTCTTACAATTTTCTGCTCATATTTCTTCTTGTGGTGTGCTCCCAAACCCCTTGCCATTTTGCTAACATTATTACTCTACAAATAAGGGTGAGGCATGCCAAAAACGAAGGAAAACCCCGAAAAATTATGTATAATGGAAAATTTCTTTTCAAAGAAAATTTGCACAAAAATGAAAAAAAATAAAATAAAACAGCAACAACAACAACACTAAACCAAAATAAAATAAATTTTGTGGGGTATGCAAGGATGTTGTTGGTGTTGTTGTACACTGACAGGATGGATGGATGGATGTGGATGAGGGACACACACACACACACATAAGTACATATAGAGTTGCACGTGTAAAGGGATATGTGTGTAGTTTTCATGGCAATAGATTGTGGGGAGAGAGGACAGGGGAAGGGAAACAAAGTAGTAGATTTATATATAAAGTAACAAAAATACTTATTGTTTGCTTGGAAAAATTTCAATTCGTTGATGTTTTTTTCTTAAGTTAGCCTCCAGCTCCAGTTTGTTTTTTCTTTTTAGCTATAGCCTTTCATTGCCTCAAATAATATGTACACACACATAGACGCCGACATACACTGAAATTTACTTTCATACCATTACAATATGAATTAAGGTTGTAAAAGTGTTACCAGGCAAAAAAGGAAAGACACCTCCAACCCCCTTTACCCCCTACCACTTCACGGGCACAAGCCAAAAAAAAGTTGTTTTATATTGCTATGTATGCTTGTGTTCGGATTATGATTAAAATTGAGGATGGCTGGTTTTGGGGGAGAGGGGGATTGTGAAAGGGAATATTTTGTGATATTTTATTTTGTTGTGGGTGTATGTGGTGGGCGAGGGGTTTGGGGGGTAGCATATAAGTGCCAGTCTGTTGGTGTTTGGAAAAGCTTATTATAAAAACTTTAATAATGAAATATATATACCAATACATATATATACAAAAAAAAAAACAAACGTACATTACATACATCCACACCGAGTCAAGTAGAATGTAGAAGACGGAAAAAAGTAACACACAAAAAATTATGAGGCAAAAAAAAAGTAACACAAAATAAATTAGTCATGCGCAAAAAATCTCAATATTGGAAAATATTTTAATTAAACATTTTTATTAAATTGTTCATATCTCTTCCCTCTCACTCAGCAATTTATTTATTTTATCCCCCTTTTTGCTGAATATTGCTCCATTAGCTTGGCTTACTGTGGTCGTTTCCAGTTGAATGCTTAAATATGGTAAAAGGGAAAACATTTTGATGAAATATTTCATTAATGTTAACAGCCAATGCCTGTACAAATATGTAAGCTGAAAAAAATCGAATAATAAATTAGTAAAAAAAAAACAAGGGAAGCTTTGGCCAGAATGTGGGAGTTATCGATAAATTCAATAAATGTTAATATCAGTTTTTTTTTTATTTTTTTATTAAAATTTATATTTTAAAATAAAATTCTAATTAATAAAGAATAGGGTTTTGGGAAAAGTCACAACATAGTATAAATTGCCACAGCAGAATATCTTCAATTTTTGATAATTTTATTTCAACAAATATTAATAGTTTATAAAATAAAATATAAAAATTATAAAAAAAATTAATTGTTATAAAAAATATTTTTATCATCTTTTTTATTCCTATCATCATTTTTATTATTATTACTAAAATATTTAGGATTGTTATAATAATTATTTTTTAATACCAACATATTATTTACCATTACTTAAATGCATGACTTGGCATGTAAGCCCCCAATACAAAACATGAGACACAATATCCCACACAGCCCTATTAAGAACATTTTCAAAATAAATTTAAATACAAATTTATTTCGCCCATTTCACAGACAATACTAATTTCCTAACTATTTTCTCTCTCTTCCCTTTCACAAAACTTACAGTAATACCAAAAATGGCCGCTTCTATATACGCAACCCCACCGCCCGATTTAAGCAGTGAAGATACAGCTCTGTCCGATGTATCGAACACATCATCAACAAATGCCAATACAACAACAACAGCACACACCAACAAAAACAATCAACACAATAACAACACCGCCAACACAACAACAACAGCAGTATCAGCTGTAACAGTTTCATCATCCTTAACGGTATCTTCGAATTTGTCGCCATCATCAAATCAAACGAACAACACCATGACAAACACCTGTGAAACGAATTCATCGCCAAATGTGAGCAGCAGCGGTAGCAGTAAAACGAAACGTACCATTGCCGATGTTTTTAAGGATAAACATATTTCATCGTCATCATCAGGAGCAACAACAACATCACCACCACCACCACACCACATTAGTTCTTCCAGTTATAACAGCGAAACGGATGCCTCAACGACCAATGGTCCTGACAATGGTGCCGCCATGGCTGCCGTTGCAGCTGCGGCCAATGCTGCCATGCAAATGCAATTTTTGGAAGCTCTCAACGATGCTGCCAAAAAGAGACGTAAACAACACAATCCCACACGTATGGACGAGGACAAAGCCGGCAGTAATTTGGAAAATGATAAATTGTTGCCGGAAATCAAGCGAGAACAAACCTCACCGCTTGGTGGTTCGGATCAAGATTATGAGGATAAATTGTCGAAAATGTTTTTACCCAAATCAATGGAACATCTCAAAGAGACATTTGAAATGTTGCAACAGCAGAAGCAACATGAAAACATATCAAGTTCGGAGCAGGAAGGAGAAGAAGCCAATCGGCAACAACCACCAAATTCCATGTCATTGGATAACGACAATGTCAACTACTCGCAGAATCCATATCATACATTTTGCAAAGAATGTGGAGAGAATTTTGAAAATGAATTTAAGCTGAGCCTGCACATGCTGCAGGAACATAATGGCAGTGAAGCAACCGATACGGCCAACATGTCACCCATGGATATTTTGGCATCGGTAAAGGTGAAAATGGAAAGGCCCGACAATGACAGTCCTTTGGATAATCAACAACAACAATTAATGGCAGATGTGGCCAACAATGGCCAAAAGGAACAACAACACCCACAGCAGCAACAACAACCTTGGCTAAGACAACCACAAATACCACCATTGGGTTTTCCATTCCCTCCTGAAGCAGCAGCAGCCGCTGCTCTCCAAGCCGGTGGTTATTTGCCTCTCTTGGCAGTTCCCGGTTTTCCTGGAGTTGATGGCCTTCAACGGCCACCAATGAGAATCTTCAATCCTGAGGCATTTTGTGAGCTATGCAACAAAGAATTTTGTAATAAATATTTCCTCAAAACTCACAAGGCCAATAAACATGGCATCTATGATCCGGTGGGTGGAGATACCGGAACCGGTGGTCCAGGTGGTCCACAAAACAGTACCCTAAATGCCATGAATCAAATGTTTCAATTACAAATGCAACAACAGCAGCAGCAAATGCAGCAACAACATCAAATGCAAATGGAATTGGCCGCTCAGCAGCAGCAACAACAACAGCAGCAACAACTTTCCCAAGCTAAGAACTTGAGTGAGACCACACGCAAGGAAAAGGACGACAAGGCCAATAACAGTGGTAACAACCAATCGACGGCTGCCTCCACGGTTTATTGCGATATTTGCTCAAAACGTTTTACCAACATTTTTGCCATGCGTCGTCATCGTTCCAAGGTACATGAACAAAATGCCAGTGCCAATGCTACCGCCGCACCACAACGTAACAGTCCCACTAATATCACAGAAACAGCCAGCAGTTCCAGTTCCAATGACATCTTGAATGCCACCAAAAACTTCCAAATGCCCGATGGTTTTAGGCAAGATTTCGGTTTGGAGCAGGAAGAGATATCATTCACGCCACAACCCCGAAAACTGTCACCTCAATCCCAACAGCAGGCCCGCGATGCCAATTTTGCCCATGACAAACTGAAGCGTTTGGGTGTCATGAACCCAGAGGCATTCTGTGAGCTATGTTGCAAGGAGTATTGCAACAAATATTTCCTACGCACCCACAAATGGAAGCGTCATGGTATCTTTATACCACCAGAGGAAAATGAAAACCTCCCCAAAATTCCTGGCAATTGGCCGTTCATGAACATGCCAGCTGTGAATTTAATGATGGCAACTCAGCGCATGATTTCACCGGTTGGCAACAGCGAAGATGTGGAACAGCAACAGCCCAGCAAACGTATCAAACTCGAGAAACCCGACAATGATGTGGAGGGTAGTGGTGACACACCCACAGTCATGGACACCACTGTGGAAGACGAAAACCTGGAGAGCCGCAATGAGGAGAATAATCAAAATAATCAGAATTTAAGTGTACCCTCAACTCCAGAACCCCAAAAGCCACAAACCGCCAGTCCCGAAACCGTTATGGGCTTACAAAATCTACAAAAATTACAATCCATGATTCAACAGCTAAACGATTTGAATGGTAAGAGGCCAGTGGCCTGTCATTTGTGTGGACGTGAAATGGAAAATCAATATGCCCTGCAGGCCCATATAATGTCCGAGCATGGAGCTGGAGCCGGCATGGACGGTATGCCAGCATTGCCCACATTTCCTCCACAATTTCTGTTGCAGCAACAACAGGCCATGATGAAACAATCACCACCAGGTGGCTCCCCAGGATCCTTAATGCCACCCCTCATGGCAGCTGGAATGGGTGCACTGAGTGGAGAATTACGTTGTACCCCCTGTGATCGGGAATTTTCCAATTTGCCAGAATTTCAAAAACATATCACCGAAGTTCATCTACTGGGCAATGGCAAAGGTAGTCCAATGCGTGAGGGTTTTGTGACACCCGACAGACCGGTTAACAGTTCAGCAGCATTGGCTGCCGCTGGCGGTACTCGACCCCCATACACACTGACACCCACCAGCAGCTATTGTGAGATCTGCAACAAAGAGTTGTGCAACAAATATTTCATGAAGACCCACATGCAACGTATGCATGGCATTGAAATTGAAAATGGCGCCCAAATCGGTGGAGTAGTGTGCAATATCTGCAACAAGGAATTGTGTAGTAAATATTTCCTTCGGGTACACAAACACAATACCCATGGCATAATTGATGATGGTGCACCGTTGCCACAACCTCGTCAAAATGGAGTAAACACCGAGGCCACACCAGTCGGAGCTGGAGAACCCGATAGAAATCTCAATATGAGCCCCTTCGGCAGCAATGGTTCAGATGTGAAACCAGAAACCTCCAGCTACAGCGATAACTGTCCGTTGTGCAGTAAACGATTCCGCAGTCCCAAATGGTTGCGTTCACATTTGCTCAATGATCATGGAGCCAGTGGCATGGAAAAATTGCGTGAACTGGAACAACAGTATGGTAGTTTTAGTAAATCTTCCAGTCCCACATTGAAGATACCGAATGGCTCAAGCTCAGCTGGTTCCAGTTCCAATGCCGGTACACCCAACACGCATCCGAATGTACCATCGCCGGCACAATTGGCTCAGGCATTGCAGAATTTGAATGCCCAGCAATTGTTGCAGCAGCAACAACAGCAGCAACAGATGGCGAAACCACAAATTCCCTACAAAATGGAGCGGAATGTGGCATCACCACCCAGACCCAAGGAATATCAGTGTTCGTTGTGTTCCTTCACAACACCGTATTATGCTTTCCTATTCATACACGAGAGAACCCATTCCATAATGAATGCTGGTGGTGCTGAGGATCAGGAACGTGAAGTCGGTGGGGAAGATAAAGAAGGCATGGTGCCAATAAGATCCAACGAAGGTGAACAATGTGGGGAGGAAAATGAAAAGAGTAACAAAGATGAAATGGAGATACAGCAACCAACAAATCTGTCAATGCGTACACCATCTCCATCTCGCGATAGTAGTTTGAAGGAAATTCCTAGCTCTCCAGTGACACAACAAGACCATTCATTAGAGAATGATAGTCGTGGTAGGCGTTCTGTGGCATGTTCTCCGGTATTTCATATGTCACAATATCAACAGCAGCAACAACTACAAGAAATGGCTGAACAATTTGGCAAGACAGCTTCCTATGCGGTGCCGCGTGACATGTCATTGGCAAATGGGCCACACATGCAGGCCTTCATCATTGAGGAGGCAGCGGATAACAGGTTTGTGCCCGCAATAATTTATTTACCGGTTACAGAACGTTTATCGGGACCCCTGAAATTATCATTTAATTTGACACCCGTTTAAATAGCAGGAAAAATTTTTAGTTGTGGTTTTTCATTTTGGATTTGATTTATCTTTGGACATCGTTTTGAAACAAAAAAGGTTCCTTTGCAGCAAGGCCACTTTGAAATATTTTTTTTCGTTCTGTTTTTACATATACAATATACACCTACAAAAACAAAATAGCTAAAATTAAAAAGACTGAAAGTTCTCAAAAAAGAAATTAAAAACCCAAAAAAAAAATAAATGGGAAAATTATTAAAACACGGCAATTATTAATAAAAAGTCACCCAACACAAAAATAATAACAAAACAAGTGGCCTTGGTATGCTGACACAAGATTTATCTCAAATGCAACCTTGGAAGTGTGTCAGCTGATAAACTGAACTAGTTCATTAGCTCCCTTTGGGGGAATCGTTCAATGCAACATAGTTGATATGACTTGAATAATTAATCGATTTGTGTAAACGGAACCTAAAGAATTTAATAGTTTGAAATTTTTTTTATAAGTTTATGATTTTTCTTAAAATGCTTAGAAAAGTTCCTAGTTTTTTTATATGAATAATATATTTTGTTTACTTTCGTAAACGTTTTCTATTTAAATTCAAAACAAAATCAAAATACAGGATAAATATATAGTTTATGTTAGGAGAAAAATAAATCGATAAAACACATACATACGTAACTTAACAAAGAAGACAAAATATCAGTTATACCAAGTACCCCCACTATATAATAGCTGCAAAATAAGAGACATTAGTAAAAAAACATACATAGCAGGGTTTATAAACATGAATTTAATTGACAGCACTACAAAAGTCAGTTTATATACATACATATAAATATATAATAATATATAACATACATACATATATATTATATATATAGCTACCCCACCCCCTTACTAAAAGACAAAACTGCTTTGCTCAAAAATAACTGAAGACAAAATCAAGACAAACTAACAAAAAAAACCAAGTCCAGAATTTATTATTAAAATAATAATCCTTTAACTATAGAAAATATATAGGCCAAAAGTGTAATATACACTTTGTATATAGAAACATACCAAAAAAGAAACACACACACACAAATATATACACATTTGTGTATATATGTATATCCAAAGAAACAAAACTTGGATGGGACAGACGTAGAAAATTTAAGAACATCAGGAATATCCAAACTTCATAAAAAAAGAACGGATAATATTATGAACTTTTCTCAGGGCAAAAGTACAACTTCTGTAGTTAAAAAAAAATAATTTAAAAACGAAAAACACAAAGTTACACTAGACTACAGAAACAAATAAGGAAAAAAGATAAAAAAAAATTAAAAACTATATATATTACAAAAAATATATTATTATTGAAAAACGAAATCTACCTCAAACCCCCAAAAAAGGAAGTAAAACGAAATTTAATTTTAAAAAAATTAACAAAATAATACATTTATATTTTAATTTTTTTTTATTCTATAAACCAAAACTAAATTTTTATGTTATATTATATTTTTATTATTCCCTAATTAGATTTAAACATTCCATTTAAAAAAATACCAATACTAGTCAAAATAATTACCAAAGAATTCAATATTTCAACAACCATCTAGTCAACATCAATAATTTAATTAGTTTCTAAGTTTAAACAAAAAAAAAAAAATTAAAATTATTTTTACATGCTAAGCGTGTATATACATATTTTTAAATAGTTACATGTGAAATATGGGGTAGTTCAAAATCCCTATACAATTTACATGGACCAAACAAACAAAAATATTGGCACAAAATCAAAATTATTTCTTAAGTAAAACTAAAAACAACAAAAACAGCTGTTTAGCTGTTGTGAACTTGGCAGCATTTTTAAATGACATACACATGAGTTCTATTGACCAGGGTTGTATTTCTTTCTAAAACATTGATTATTAGTTTCTATTGGGATGGATGGAAATCATTAAACACAGATTAAATAAAATCCTTGAGATTTTTTCTAAACCAAGGCAATTACTATTTAAAACTACAATTTATAAAAAGAAAAACAATATTATATGCTGCGTGCCTTTAATAGTAATTGCCACGCTGCAAAATAAATATTATTTCCATAGTATGATTTAATTTTGATTTTATTTTTTTATAATAATTATTTAAAATCATAATAATCTGTATGTTTTTTTTTTATTTGTAATATATCATATAGAGTCAATATTTCTCTATTGTTTTAAATTATTTCTTTGCTAAAATTACAAAATATTGTTTTCAATTATATATGTATTATAATTTAAGTTTATCACATAATTTAATTATTATTTTTAGTTTGTAAAATAAAATGCTGTATTATATCAATTATAATTAATAAAATATTATTTGTTTATTAAAAAAAAGAAAAATTAAATAATTTTTGTTATTTTCATTTTTATTTATGTATTTGATTTAAAGTTGAAATCGTTATCTACTGTAAAAATCCAAAATTTGGAAATGGAGAAGCATATTAGGAATTGTCTGCAGAATTTTGTGTGGACTTCAGACTTCACCCAAAATATGCTAAGATTTTTCAAATTTACTTACTTACTTAGCTGGCTTGTTACAGAACGGTTGTTCCATATGCCGAACCTAAAAAGTTTTTGAAGCGCGTCGGTCTTGTGCGTATCTCCTCCAATTTGGAAGACCACGTTGTTTTCTCTTTCCATCTAATTCGTGGCCTCCCCCTCTACGTGAACCATCAGTAGGCTCATTTTTATATGCCTTTTGAGCTGCATCTTCATCTGCTTGCCTAGCCACCATAGTCGCTGCAGCCCATGCTTCTGATCCATATAATAGCACGGGTAGTATCAGCGTCTTGTAAAGTGTGAGTTTGGTCTGGCGGGAGGTGGCCTTGCTTTTGAGTTGTTTGCTCAGACCGTAGTAGCATCTGTTGGCCATCACAATCCTTCTCCGAATTTCAAAACAGATGTCATTCGTTTTCAAATTTATAAAGGACAAATCGTAACAGATTTCGATAAGTTGAAGCTTTTTGTAGCTTCTAGTACAGAGCAAAACGATACTGTAAATATTTATGAAAGGACATAAAAAAACAAAATTTTTAGGTTGTTTTGGGATATTACTGTCCTTACGACTTCTAGAAATTTAGGGTTCCATCGTAACCGTTTTTGATAAAAAGTTTGAAAAAAATCGTTCACTTAACGGATCAAATGGTTCCTTAATCGGGTTCAATAATTTTCAATTAATAATTTTGGTTCATCAGAGCTTCATATAAAACCTATTTATGGCGGAAACATGATAACAACTCAAAAGGGGATTTTCTCCCAATCTATTAATTCACTCGGTTTCAATGTTTAATAAATTTCTAAACATTTCTTTGTAATAAATAAAATCGGCAATTTTTTTTAGATTTTCTGTTGATTACGTTCGAATAAATAAAACCACCGGAACAAATCCTGTAATTCTTTATGTCGGGTACACACTACCAGTTCAAACTGTAACATATTTTTATCGATTACTGACCGTCCAACAACCATTGATATTTTGGTTTAGGTTTTAATACGATCAATTCAATATAGAAAAAATTGACGTAAATACATAGTTGATTTTGAAGACTTGAAAACTAGAGAAAATGTTCATTGGTTCACGTTATTTATTTCGATCGCAAAACCTGTAAAACCACTTTTTGAAAAATTGACAATATCGAAAATCAAGAGGAACTACTCCAAATATTGGAGACATTTTGGAAATTTTTCTCCGACTCAAACATAATATATTTCCGACTTCGTATCAATTTCAACTGCCTCAATTACAAAAACCCTATTTTTATATGGATTTATGCGGATTATTTGTATTTTAACAAGTGCAAAGAGAGGCAAAGTGATATTTATGGAACATTTTTCAGAACCAAAATATCTAGAGTCAAGCGGACATAAATACATAGTTGGTTTTGAAGACTTGTAAACTAGAGAAAATGTTCCGAAGTTTCGTGGTCGTTTTTGCAAAACGTGTAAAACAACTTTTTGAAAAATTTAATATATCGAAAATCGAGGGGAACTACTTCAAATATCCTTTATGGATGGATATTTCAAATATGGACCTGCATATCGTAAAACCAAAAAATCTCGGTTATGTGGCGGGACCGTGATATGTCAAATATCTTAGTAATAATTGCTCTGTTACAGAACATTTACCACTTTTTGAGTAGGGAACCAGAACAAATATGTTATGACAAAACACCCCTACATTATATTCCTCATAAAACAAACTTTTTCATAGGTCATTTTGTCATATCTTCTTTGAATTCCATCCCTCTGCGTTCACAGTTAAATAATTTCCCAATTGTCTTGAAATTTTTCCTTTATTATCCTTTGCCATCATCTTATTCCCGTCAAGCAGGGATGCTTCTTTCTTGGTCTTAAATTTCGTTCCGGCTATCTATCTTAGCAAATAATTCTTCCCATTGAGTTTTCATTGGTGCTCTTCATCTTTTATGAACTATATGGGATTCTTATTCTCGTCTCCTTCAATCGATACGGGTGGTGTTATTTTCCATTGTTTTCTATTTCTGTTGTTGTGTGGTTTTTGAGATGCTGGTTTAACGCCTTTTTTTTAAATACTTTTGTTCGCGTCGATTTCATGTAATGTAATCTTTTTTTTCGTTTTTCTTTTTTTATTATTTTTTATTGATCTTTCCAATTTAGGTCTCATGCTGTGATTCACATTTGTCGAGCGTATGGGTTTTTTTCTGTTTGTTTGTACGTTGTAGGGTTTCCTTGTAATAAATGACATTTTAATTAGATACAATATGAGTTTTTTTCAATTAGTTGTTTTTGTTATATTTTTCGTTTTTACAAAATGTCATTGACTGTCGTTATACATGTATGTGTGTGTAACTTAAAGTGTATCATTACATTTGTTTCAATTAACTTAGATTTTAAAGACATGAAATTTGTAGAGGATTTTTTTTTGTAAATGACTTAATTTGTTGTTAAAAAGGGGAAACCTTTCATGAAAAGAAAACAATAATCAATTATTTAGATTTACAAGA